CTCTTTCCCAGCCAAGCTGCCAGCAAGAGTCAGCTCTGCCTGTTCATTTCCTCCTATCCTCCTATCCTGCATATCCTCCTATCCTTTTCCTATCCTCACCAAGGCCTTTGGTGTTCTCTTAATTAAAATTCTCTCCTTTCTTGGCTTTTATGACATCACTTCTGCAGGTTTATTTCTGATCCTTCTCAGTCTTTTTTCTTTGCTTGTCTCTTTAATTCTGTTTTTCCCAAGGTATTATCTTTCCTCTGTACATTTAACGTTCTAAAGCAGAAATCAAATACTGTTTCCTGTCCTTTCAAAGAGCAGAGCAACACCTTTGCTTTTTCTCACTCAGCATATACCTTTCTACGTTGCTGCCTCTCAGCCTGTTTATGTCACCATCCTGCACAGTGTGCGTGATTCTCATGTTTGTGTCCTTAGTCACCACCCCTCTGACACCATGTGTCACGTCAGGCTTGGACAGATTCTTAGCCTCGGTGTATTCATATGTAAAATGGGGTTATGATAACTCTGGGCTTCATGGGCCGGGGCTGGGGGGTTGTGAGGATTAAATGAGACCCATAATTAAGCCTTCAATAAATACAGGAGGAGATGACAGCTCACAATTAAGTATCCTTATGTTCTTTCAAAGAAGTTATCCATTTGTTTTCTATTTAAGTAGTCCATTGACTTTCGTGCATTATAAAAGTCTTAAATACATGATCAGAATATGGTACATCTGTTACAACCTTATGTGTTTGTTTCTATTTTTATGAAGTTTCTTTTTCTTTTTTTCCCAGGTTTTGAAAGTTGTAGTAATGGTGTAATATCAAATAAAACACATCAGTCATACTGCCATAGTAAACACCAGTCGTCCAGTTTGAATGTACCAGAACTGAACAGTATAAACATGTCAAGGTCACAGCAAGTTAATAACTTCACCAGGTAATGATATCCCTAGCTTTTGCATTACTATAAGCAGCCTTAATTATAGCTGTCATCATTTTTAATAATTTGAAGAAATTGAGTTAGATGGTCCATAGTGGGGCTCTGAGAGTTCCCAAGACCCCAGAGGTTAAAAGGGTGGGGAGTAAGTTCTCCAAAGCTTTCTGTTCTCCTAGTGTTCATGGAGGCTCGTCCTTCTGTTCCTTCCCCTTCCTCTACGTCACTCTTCCCTCTAGTGGGGTGATAGGGACACATCCAGGGTTCTGCCTTTCATCTTCCTGCCACCACAGACCCGTACAGGTGGTTACGTACATGCCACTTGTTATGTTTCCAAGTGAAGCCACAATAGTATATTTAACCTCTGCAGTTCACATATGGTACAGTTACAACTATTTTTTTTCTTTGTGTGTGGGTTTTTTGGTGCAAGTGTGTGAAGTGTTTCCTGAGTTCCAAATAACTAACTTTACAAAAAATATTTGTTGATGAGAGCCTATCTTTAAGTAGCTTGCGTATAACAGATGGTTAAGTCATTTAGTAAAAACATACAGTGCGAGGAGAGTATTGAGAACCTGTTGGGTGTCAGACACTGCTAGGCATGGTCTCCGCTCGAAGAGCTTTGAGAGAAGAGATGTCTCTGTCAGCATACTATGACATACTCAGGTTTACTATTCATGAAACCGGAAGGTTTCATTTGAATTGAATGCTAGTGTGTGACGGCAAGTTCTTATGGATTTTATCAATTTGATGTTGGTTTGGTCTTAGAACGTGAATTGATTGGTCACACTGCGTTTTGGGGGAATGTTTATCAGTGCAAAATTCTCCCACTGAAGGAGAGAGAACCTAATGTTTACCATGACTCTTAATGGAAATATGACTCTGGAGAAAGGAGTATGTGTAAAGATCTGTTTTCACAAATTTGGAGATTAACCAGAATTGCCAGGTTCTCTCTCACAAGTGACAGAAATGTACTGAAGTAATGGTATTGTGTGGCACAGGTGATAATGAAGGTCCACAAAAACGGGATGACAAGAGCAGGAAAACAGACTCTTGCTGAGGAGGTCAGGGTAGTCAGTAGAGATGACATAACTAGAAAGTAAAAGATTAGAATATTGTGAAAATTTTGTATGGAAATTTAAAAGATGAAGCCTTTAGTACATCATTGTACTTTATAGTATATTAGTACTTTATCATTGTTAGAGGGTTCTACCATAGTTTGAGGGTAGGATTGCAGTTTCTTCGTGAGTTTTTCTCTTAAATACTATCCTCATGGCAGGAAGTTGCTAAAGAGACCTATTATTACCTGAGTTGAGGGAAGCAAGCTTAACGGAAGGGGTTGATGACACAGCATCCTCTTTTGTGTGCAGTATAGAAGAAAGTAAGCTTTTAAACTGTCTTAAACTGTTAAGCAGTAACAGTTACTTTCTAGTTGGTAATGGCTTTCCTTACCAACGGTATTGTGAAGTAGGCACAGACGGTATTAACTGTGAAAACCATTTTACAGATGTAGAGCTGAGTACCAGAGAAGTAAATGACTTTTTTTTTAAGGTCAATAATTAGTAAGTAGTAAGTTGCAGAGCTGTGACTGCTTCCTGGGATGTCTGACTTCTGGGCTTGTGCCTCCTCCGTTGCCCCCATCAGAAATGCTCTCCTCCCTGCCCTCCCCCCATCCTAACTTCTGTTACTTCAGATGTTACCTCTTCCAGGCTGTTTTCCTTGATTTATATCCCCGCCGAATGTTGTGCCACTCCTTGTGGAGCTTTCATCACAGAACTGAGTCTCTGTACTATAATAACTTTATTAGCTTCTTCTAGGCTGTTCACTCCTGGAGGGCAGGGGCTGTTTCACTATATCCTTAGCACCTAACACAGAGCATGGCCCAGAGGCTCTTAAATTGTGTTGAATGAAAGTATCCCTCTCAAATATTATATTGGATTATGAAAAATGCACTTTAGTATATTAATAAGATCACTAAAAGCTACGATCTTAAGGATTTCCCTTATATTAAACATTATTTTCAAAGTTTGATTTTTCTTATCAATTCTCAAATTTCATCAAGATACTAAACAAGCTTTTCTGACTGACAAGAATGTCCTGGGGCCATTGCCCTCTTCTTCCTAGATCTCTGTGGGCCTTTTTATCCTGATAGGTCTTACGGATAGAAGTATGTATGCACCCACGCGTGCCCACGCACCCAAGCTGTTAACCATTGGTTACCTTTGCTGGCATTATGCATAAGGTGCTTTTTGCTTATCTGCATTCGATGTTTTTTTTTTTTTTTTCTACAAACATTGCCTTTTTAATGAGAAAAGATCATTTTTATTTACATATTCTCTAAATTTTCATCAAGCGTTTCCTTCTCAGCTGTATAATCATAACCTAGATCTTCATAGGAGAAATTTGGATGGTTAGATACTGTTGCTTGGGGTGTGGAAGGATCCGAAGGGCAAGTATTGACGAGTTCAGTGGCCCCGTAGAGCTGTCGGCACGTGCTATTTGTTCAGGCAACGCGACGTAGGTGAGAACTGGCAATGCCCAAAGTGTCTCCAGAACAGCATTTTAAAAATGAAGATTCAGCAATACTTTAGAATCTTCAGCCAATAAGAAAGCCTGTGAGAGAAAAACAGTGTTGGGCGCTGGGAAGGTATGAAGGGATGCGACTGAGTAGTTTTTCAGGTGATTATTTGCCATTGAGAAAGAGTATATTTTTGAGTAGTGAGGACAAACGCCAAAACATCAAGGCTGTTAGTGAAAAATATAGTCTAGAAGCGAGTCGAGTATGAGGGTGGGGAAAGAGGTGAAGAGAGGTGGGTTCCAGGAGTAGTTTGAGAGGGAGGGTTTCCCTTACACGCTGCAAGTGAATGCTGCGGTGAGGCTCAGGGATTCTGGGGCAGGAGTTGATTAACAAAGAATGGAGAGCAGATCTGAGTTTGAAAAATAGTGGGAAATACGTGCTGAAAAATGATTTCTCCATGTTGATCGGAAGTCATAAAACCACTACATTTTAGTACATGTACTTTATCTCCAGGAGTACAGATTTGTTAAAGGTCAGCTACAGATTTGGCTTTGAATACATTCAAGATGTAACTAAATACCTTTTTTCCAGATTGCTATTGCCTTATGAAGTCAGTTTATAAGTAGGCTCTGTAGTTGAGTAGTAATTTATTTTAAACTAAGCTGCAAGTATGCTATTTCTAAAATTAGGTTTGTTTTTTCATTTTCAGTAATGATGTAGACATGGAAACAGATCACTACTCCAATGGAGTTGGAGAAACTTCATCCAATGGTTTCCTAAATGGTAGCTCTAAACATGACCACGAAATGGAAGATTGTGACACCGAAATGGGTCTGCAGTGATATTTCTTACATTTTTAATAAAAAATGATGACTACAAGGTTATGTTTTTACTTGTACTGATTCACAGCTGATGAGCACAAATCAAATTTAAAGATGTATGTGCCATTGGATTTTATAGTGATATGTATTACTTCTCTTAAAATTTCTTGTGAGAGTGGGTTGCTAGAGAGAGTAGTTTAATTTTTTAGTATCTTCTTTGCTGAACTGTTTCTGTGCAACTGTAGTGCTTTCATTAATGTAGGAGTACTAACTTATTAGTGTTAAATATCCTTTAGGACAGCTAAGGTTGGAGATATGAAAAGTTTTTATACCTATTTCAGTATAGCCAATAAAGGCCTAATGGGTAGAGATGATTTTGTAAGTTCTAATCAAACTTTCTTAAATTCATTCACTGTGAATATATGTGACTGTGCGCAGCCCAGCGCCTGGCAGATAGTAGGCGCCTGCATTTGACACCCCCTGGCTCCTGCCCCCTCAGAACATGTGGCTGACAGATACTTTCACACGCATAAGTTTACTTTGTTGACAACTTGTGTAGTAAATTGTACCGAAAAGTTAAACCATCAGCAAACTTTCCCATCAGTTGGAGAGTGAAAATTATTGAAGCTTATAAATTCTTATTTGTCAGAACATTAGATTTCTTAGTATTTTGAGATTAAAAGGTATTTATTCAGATTGTTAGAAACTACTTTATAAATGCAAACTTATACAACCACCTTGTTGTTGAGGATTGTGTGTTCCAATGCATAATTCACTCTTTCAAGCAAGGAGTATGATTGAAAAGGCAGCCTAGCTTCACTCTATCAGATATCAGCAAGCAACCTCAACATTCCAAGAGTAATTTGAGCATAGTGATTAAGAGCAGGAGTTCTAGAGCCGGATCACTTGGATTTGAATTCTGCAACTGCCACTTACTAGCTGTGTAACCTTGGACAAATTACTTAGGAGCTCTTTGCCTCAGTTTTCTTCATCTGTAAAATGGGTAGAATAATAACTGCCTCATAGCTGATCTGTAAAAAGCTAATAGCACAAAGTAAGTGCTTCGTAAACATTAACTATTATCATCATCATTAGTGCTTTATGATGTTGTTATTAGTGACTTATACTGTTTGTTATTGATCAGTGATTATTGTCAGTCAAGATATACACTAAAATTTTTTCCTAAAAGTAGTATTTTTCTAAAAGTATTATAATTAACCCTTTTGATTAGTATGTGGTGTCTTCTGTGTTTTTATTGGAGTCATTTAGTCTTTCTTACCTTCTATCTCTGTTCTTTGTCAGTTAAAGTAGCCTGAGAAGCACTACTTTTTTCTTTCTTTCGTTTTTTCATGTTGCTGTAGTTTTAGAAAATCATGCTTATTATTAACCTTTCATAAAATTTTCCCTGAGACATATGTACATCCTAACACTGAAAGCTTGTCACCTGACTTTCAACTGAAAGCTGGCTATTGGATCCTAGACCCTTGAGGCCTAGATAAAGTATGCCTTTTAGCTACAAAGTTCCACATTAAATTAAAAATCTGCATATTTAGGTAAAATATTAGGAAGTAATTACTAAATGAAACGTCCAAAATGTTGTAAGCAGTTTATGTTCATTTCTCCATTGTACTCCAGATGTAAGGTAGTAAAATACCTGTTTGTTTTGCTTACAGAAGTTGATTCAAGCCAGTTCAGACGCCAGCTGTGTGGCGGAAGTCAAGCCGCCATAGAAAGAATGATTCACTTCGGAAGAGAGCTACAAGCGATGAGTGAGCAGCTGAGGAGAGAGTGTGGCAAGAACACAGCAAATAAAAAAATGTTGAAGGTAAATTTGTTTTCCCTTGAAAACTTATAAATGTGTCAAAGGAACTAAAATGTAGTTTTGTAACACATTGAGCAACACTGGAATTCCTGTTGGGAACTTGGACGTGCGCCCCTCCCTGGCTTCCGGCCCGGCTGAGGGTGCGGACACGCGGCAGGGTTCGGCAGCCCTGCTCTACTGGACAGGCGCTGGACTTCTGTACAACATACAGGTTAAATCTCAGTTCTGCCACTTACCAGTGTTGTGTGCCCCTTGTCAACTTGCTTTCTTAGTTTTCTCGGCTATAAAGTTGGCAGAGTTATTAGGAGAAATGTGGGTGTGCTGATAAAACTATAAATTTGAGATATTTTTACTTTAGTAGAGATTGTTCAGGGTTGCAGCAAATTGAATGTATAACGTGTGGCTTTTATTTTGAGATTGGTGAAGGGTTGGGTCATCTTTCACAGAGAAGAGATAAAACACGTCTTCAGGTCTCTTCTGGATTGATGCCTGCGCTGGATATAGTGAGATGGAGAAAATGGAAACAGCTCATTAAGTTAGCCACAGTTCTGTGTAGCAGTTAAAGATGGAGTTTTGCCTACCTTAAGTCAGCATTGCAGTTAGTGGTAGAGATGAGGTTTTTTTCACGTTCATAGAAGTCCCACCAGCCCTGTACACCTGTGAAACATGAGCCTAGCCATTGTAGTTTTTTGTTCCGTTTTGTTTGTCCTGCATGAGGTTGGGCTCAAAGTTGGTTTGTTACAAATATTTTCTCCTGAATGTTTTGAAATAAGCCCAAAAAACGAAGGGGAGATGCACGTAGTGGCCTTGACACTGATGCTTGGGTATAGGAGAGGGCGAGACTCAGGACTCTTGCCATCCCTTCCTGAGCTAAACTGAGAGAGGGCCAGCGAGTAACACGTAGTAGTGCTAAATATGGCATAAAATCAGTCCCCCCAAAAAAACCCGTCCCAGCTACATGCACTGTAGCCTCAGTAGAACACCTGTCTAGTCTAGGATGGGTTAAGAAGCCACCTATATACACCTCCAGATAAAAAGGCATGCATAACTTGATTTTTCCAGACTGGGAATTTTCATCATTATACAACTTTGAGAATCTTTTCTGATATCAACAGTGCTAAGAAACTTCTCAGGCTTTATTATTATTTCACATATCCAAAGCTATCCATCTGGGAAACTTCTTTGCTAGGTACTGGGGTTGTTTTAGGGCAGTGGTTCTCAACCTTTTTGGTATCTAAACACTTTAAAAACTATTAAAGATTCCCAAAGGGCTCTTGTTTGTATAAGTTATATTTATTGATTTTACTCTACTAGAAATTAATACTAAAATTATTAATTCATTTAAAAATAATAAGTCATTGTTATTTTTCATGTGTTATTTTATCTTCCTAAAATAAACAAAAATAATGAGAAGAGTGGCCCTGCTTTTACATTTTTGTAAATCTCTTTAATGCTAGGTTTAGTAAATGATAAGCTGGATTCTCATACCTACTTCTGTATTCAGTCTGTTGTGATACAACACACATGTAGCCTCTGGAAAACCCCACTGTAGTTTTGAAAGAATGAGAGTGAGAAAAGAGCAAGTAATATCTTAGTATTACTATGAAAATAGTTTTGCCCTCACAAGAGACCCCGAAAGGGTCTTCAACCCAGTTGTCCCTGGATCATGCTTTGAGAACTGATGTTTTAGGAGGTATTTGGGGATGTGAAATGCTTTTAAAAAAGAAATCATAGGCTTTTTTACACTAGGTCATCTGACTCTGTTTTCTTGTTAATACTTTATGCTGATGGAATATGATTTTATGTAGTCCCTTTGAAAATTTCACTCCATTGCTTATTCTTCGATTCTAATTTGCATGAAGCACAGGAAATGGCATTACATGGCCTATCCTCAAAGATATTCCTTGATTATATATTGAATTAAGTGAAGATGTAATTCATCATCTAAAGAATGTGGGTGGCTTTGATTTTGTACCTGTGGCCTCTAAGCAGATGCCAGCTGCCTCAAGAGATCGTCTTAACATTCTGAGCTGCTTCTCTCCCATTCCCCAGACTTATCCTGATCCAGGTGAGAGATAAGATGGGTGGCCGATCCAGCTTCTAAGTGCCTAAAAGAACAATGCTGGAGGATTTGAGAGTAACACAAAGGAACTTTTTTTTTTGCCCTGCTTGAGAAGGTTTAGAAATTACTGTTTTCTTTTATTCTTCACTTCAGGTCATGGGTGGTTGAAATGTTCTTTTTTATCTTTAGTTTTGTTTGAATTTGCACAGACTTCTGAAGCATGCCTACATGTGTAGAGAGACAGGATTTGGTTAAGGCTGGCTTGAGACTTACCGAAGTTGCCGTAAGGTACACACCTGTTTTGCTTCCCCTGAGTCGTGGAGTAGCAGGCACACCGCAGACCTTGCTTGGGGTAGCCCACCTGTGCTAAACACGGGCTGGGCGGCCTGCTGCAGCCGTGGTTCTCTTGACCTTTTTCTGACTTTCTCGGTCTTCCTTTCCTCTTTTCCTGTTCGTCTTTGTTTTTGTTGCTTACCTGCCTGAATCTGCCAGTGGCTCCCGGGAGAGGCACCTGAATTGTTCAACAGCTGTTTACTGCGCTTGCGCAGAGCAGCAGGGCACCTGCTGGAGGGCCGGGAGAGTCAGGTTAGAACGAGCAGCCCCAGCTGCAGGTAGCTCTCAATCTAGTAACTTTAGACGCACCCTGTTTAGAAACTGCTAAAGAGTTTAAGCCAAGTGTAAGTACAGTTTGAGAATCCTACCTAAATGTCACATTTCCTCAGAAATTTTCCCACCGAGGTAATGTTTTTTTCTAAAATAAAAAGTAACCCATAATGCCATGATATTTAACAGGTATTTTCAGTTTTGTGCCTTAAATCGCATGGGCATATATTTTATCTGGTTGGTAATTGTAGTTATCCTATTTGTATTGTTCTCGTTATCATAAAAAATGTATTTCCAGTTTCTGTGTGTTATTGACAGTTATTTTTAAATGGCTACATGATATTCTAGTGTGTTGCTATATCAGTTTATTTAAGCATTGCTCTATTTTTAGATTTTCTATTTGCCTTTTAAAAAATGCTTTGAACACCTTTATACATGTATCTTTGTTTCTTCCTTAAAATTATTCCACTGGAATAAAGTCCCAGAAATAGAATTATTGAGTCAAAGGAGACAATTATTGTGGCTCTTGCTATGTGTTGCTGTGTTGCTTTCCAGAAACGTCTACCAATTTGTCAGCAGTAATAAAGGGATGTGCCGGTGGCACTAGTACCTTAATTCTACCTTAGTGGGTTTAACATGTATCTCAAAATTGCTTATTTGCATTTCTTTGGCTACTCTCACCCAATTAGTCTTACAGCAGAATTTAAAACATTAAGGTTGCTTGGCTGATTTCATTCCCCTTGTGAAGAAAGATAAAGTTCTAGATATTTACTCCTGGGAACTTGATGGTGTAAACCGGTTTTTTTTTTTAAGGGTTTTTTTTAGTTTTCTTGCTTAAAGCTTCACTCTGCTTGCAAGCTGTGCTTCATAGTGTTGTTGTGTGATCCATCTAAAATCAAGTCTAATCCATATCACCCCGTTATGTAAAACTCTGTTGCCTTATTGGAAAAAATGGAAGCGTTTTAGTGCGATTTTTAGGATGTTTTAGGATCTAAGCCCTTACCCATGGTTCCAGCCATGCCTTGTCTCCTTTCCAGCCTCAGTTTCCATGTAGCTTGAGCCTATTTCTGTGATTGCTTCTTGTGACACAATACACTCTGTTAATGAGCAATACACCGTACATCATTTACATGTCTGCCTTCCCCATAGGACTGTGTGAGTCCTCGAAACAGTGATGAGGTCCTGGTGGTCCCCGTCTGGGTCCAATAAATATTTGTTCAGCTATACTGAAAATATGGGGGCAAAATTTTAGACTTTTTTCCTCTTAATATATAGATTGGTAATTAAAAGAAAGAAACTGTATCTTACTAAAAGGAGTACAGTACTAGCTGTGTGGTGGTAAAATCTCTCACTGCCTCAGTTTGCGTCTAAGATGGGCATAGTAGTAACCACCTCCTAAGGTTATTGTGAGGATTAAATGAGATGATACACATTAGCACTTGAAACATTGCCTCACACAATATTAGTGCACAGTAAATTACTACCATCATTATCTTTTTCTGTGAATTTTGTTTTAAATGCTAGAAGTTGTATTTGACAGAATGGTCTTGATTTGACTTCTGGGACTGCAGCATTTCACCTTTTTGGTAGCGTGTCAGGATGTAGATGCAAGAGGATAGTTCTGTGCTTAAAATAATGATGTAGCAGTTATTCCTTGGACAGATTCTTTAGTCTGTCTTTTAAAATTTATCTGCACTATAGGGATGGTACCTCATTAGATGGTTGTGGGGTGAATTAAGTCTTGAGCAAAGCTCAGTCTTTAGAAATAACGTGATTAGAGTTAGCTTCACAGCATATCAGATATTAATCTTTCTCCATCAATAAATTTGGATTGGGGGGAACCAGAAATAGAATCTAGTAGCTTTGTGAGATGCATAAAATATCTTAAATACTGTTAAGAAGCAGATCTTGCAATCAGCAGGTATATGAAGCTTTTTTTTTTTTTTTTCTCCTTGTATCTACTAGCACCTGTGAGTAGCTGCAGGGGATTCAAAATAGTATAAGTTCTTCAAAGAACTTTCATTAATAGCTGTGGCAAGAAGTCTGATGTGAATGAGATACTCAGCAGCGTAGGACAGTGGAGGTGCCACGTGTACCCCTGTCTGTAGCCTCAGGCCGCACAGCTCTGCTTTCTGGGCAGTTCTTCAACGGTCACAACGCAGAGGCCAATTCAGATAAGAAAGGGCAAGAACAGGCTTGACCAGGAAGCCTCAGCCCCACTAATGAGATCGCTAGAGGGGTGCCGGGGCAGCTTCACGTGGGAGATGGTGTTCTTTAGGGGTTTCAGTCTTCCACGTTTCAATGACCCACAGTTTTGAGTGTTAGGCTACTGAATTCACTGATTTGGTTTCCTCAGCACTTCTCCACGTACGCCATCTGAACTGGGAAGGTGTCCTGTGTCTAACTGTATCTGTATTTGTATCATAATATTACTCTGGATTAGGGCATTGACTTTTGGCAAAACAATAATTTATCTTTTACTGAAAGATTAGAGTGAGCTGACATTACTAATTTTGTTTAGCTCAGTTAGTCCTCATAAACGCTGTGAAATAGGACCTCTTATAATCCCCGTTACACAAATGATGATACTGATACTTCGGAAGGTTGTTCTTGCCAAAGGCCACTCTGGTGACGCAGCTTAACTTGAAGCCAATGTCTGAAGCCACTGTAGTTATGTGCTCCCCACAGAAAGATGACAGGAAGACGGAGCCATCGTCTGAAAAGACGACTGTGTGGCAGTTACTTCAGGAGGGGCGGCTTGAGGATGGCTGGAACTACTGAATGTTCCTGAAGGGGAGCCAGTTTAATTTTGTTGATTACTGAGTTTGAGAAGATGACGTCCAGTGAGATACGCCCAGTTCCCACGTGTTTAAAAAAATACATGGGCTGGTCCTAACCTTTTTTTTTCTTTCTTCTGTACGCGGGCCTCTCACTGTTGTGGCCTCTCCCGTTGCGGAGCACAGGCTCCGGACGCGCAGGCTCAGCGGCCATGGCTCACGGGCGCAGCCGCTCCGCGGCACGTGGGATCTTCCCAGACCGGGGCACGAACCTGTGTCCCCTGCATCGGCAGGCGGACTCTCAACCACTGCGCCACCAGGGAAGCCCTGGTCCTAACCTTTTAATGTCAAATTCATATTAGTGGTCGTAAATGTTTTCTCTTTCTCTTTACTTTAACCAGTAATATAGCCCATTCCACAGGACTTAAGTTTTTGCCATTTTTATTTTATTCTGTTCTGCATGTGTTGTAGGGATAAGGGGTAGATGATGAAAATGGCTGTTTACAAGAAAAATGAAAACAAATTAGGCTTTGCTGCATAATATAGTTGTTAAAAATATATATAGCCTCCTAGTCATAGGGGTAAATGGGCTCGTGTTGGTCTAGTGCCTTAAAGCCATATTTTACCTTTCTCTCAACGTGTAACCATGGTGAGCACAGTCGCTGAACTGTTTGAATTAAAAACCAAATTGCTATGTTTTCAACAGGATGCATTCAGTTTACTAGCCTATTCAGATCCTTGGAACAGCCCAGTTGGAAATCAGCTTGACCCAATTCAGAGAGAACCTGTGTGCTCAGCTCTTAACAGTGCAATATTAGGTAAGTGAAGCCAGAAAGCACTTCAGCTGGTCTCTGGGGTATTTGAGGTGGTATTTGTGCTGGCATTTATATTTTGGTAAAATCATAAGGGAAATGTTTTCTACATTTAAAAAATTAAAATTACCTTGAAGTATAGAAAACTTCCTCTGGTATCTCAATCCCAGATTAAATAGATTCAAATGGAGTAAAAACAGTATATTGGGGTGTATCTTGTGATTCTGGAAGACAGAAGTTTTTGTGTGAACGTGTACATAAGCATATCTGGCCCGAGCCACCCATGTCGCAGCTCCCACGGGGTTCGAGTGAGTGCTGTCAGCATCAACCCTTGGAGACACGTGACATTCTCATTGAAGTTCAGCATATTTAACTACATGCCCTTACCAAGTAAAAGAGGGAAGGGGAGAACAGCAGGCTTAGGCAGGGGGAGCACGAAGTGAGAAACTGGGATTTGCTGTCCCCTGGTTGGTTGCCATTCCTGTGAGCAACTCACTGCAGAGTAGGAGTGTGGTACTTATGTACTGAACAAATACTTTTTTTTTTTTAAACAGAGGACAACTTTTTTTTTTTAATCTTTATTTATTCTTGGCCGCGTTGGGTCTTCGTTGCTGCACACGGGCTTTCTCTAGTTGCGGCGAGCAGGGGCTACTCTTCATTGCGGTGCGCGGGCTTCTCATTGCAGTGGCTTCTCTTGTTGCAGAGCATGGGCTCTAGGCGCGCAGGCTTCAGTAGTTGTGGCTCTTGGGCTCTGGAGCACAGGCTCAGTAGTTGTGGCGCGCGGGCTTAGTTGCTATGCGGCATGTGGGATCTTCCCGGACCAGGGATCGAACCCGTGTCCCCTGCATTGGCAGGTGGATTCTTAACCACTGAGCCACCAGGGAAGTCCCCTGAACAAATACTTTTTATGTGAATTCGGTAACTGCACATTTTGTGCGTTTACATATAAACTATAGGGTTGATTGTTCACATAAAACTTTTCATATCTGGGCAGTTTTTCTCAGAGGTAGCTCAGATAAGAGCGATTTTTCACCTTTTTAGAATGTAATTCCTCAAGAAAAATGGGGACTACCAGTTTAGAAGTCTGTTCTGTGCTGTTTGGCCCTGTTAGGTTTCTGTCTGAAACTATCTTAGATAGATGGGATCAGTGTCACACAGAGAGACTTGGGAGTGAAGGCCAGGGCTCATGTGGCTGGAATGTAAAGGAAGCAATTTAAAAGTATGCACGTTTGGGCCTTAATCTGCTTCTTTTGTCCTTCTGAAATTCATTATTAATTCATGGTGTTATGGTCTAACACTGAAGTTCTGGAATAGTAGTAGTGTTTTTCGTGTTATACAAATTCAATGTGAATTTTCTTTGGGTAATGTGTATTTTTTTCTTTGGTTATACGAAATTCATTTAGCTTTATTGGTAAAAATAAGTGTACTTAGTAGCAGTGCTGGGATCGTAGGGCAAATAATGGTTTACTGTAATTGTCTTTTTGAAATGACTACATTACAGGTAATCATGAAGCCCTAAATTGCTTTGTATCTAGGTAAACACTCAGACTTCCAAAGAATTTTTGAAAAGTGAACAGTTTTCTTATGACAGTTAAAAATCTTGGGTTCTCCAGGGGAATTAAAATTTTCAGTAGTAAATTGCTTAGGACCATTAGCCAGGATATGTGTATTCTTACATATTGTGCCATGTATTATGTAGTTCAGCTGTAAATAGTGCTTAAACTTATATTAAATGTATATAATTCTTGCAAAAGTAATGAGACTTAAATTGCTGTGGATGTATGTGTGCATACTTATAATATATACTGTGCTATATTATATAGCTTCATCTCTAAATAGTGCTTAGTTATATGATATGTAATTCCTGTGAGTTTCATATGCTGAAAAAGTTTAAAGATGCTTACAGATGTGCCTCCCTTGGCCAAAATAAAACTGTAATGAAGTGCTTACCTCTGAGCAAGGTTACTTCCCTGTGAACCTTCAAGAGAGATTTTTGAAAGGATGGTTTCCTTTTCATTGTTTATTCTGTTACGTTGATTTTGTGTAAAAATTAAATTGTTCCTGATTCTAGTTGAGGCAGAGTTAGTTTATAAAGTCATTCCTGCTTAGAGT